AGCACCACATCAGCTATGAAGGAAATACTGCACTTTCAATAGTAACCCATTTGCTTCTGTTATTTCTATGATATCTCAAGGGGAAGAGTGGGAGGGAGTTGGTGGGGGACTGGGGGAGAGGGAGGCAGGGTGGCAGAATGACAAAAAAAAAATATTTTTTCCAGAGTTATGGCTGCATGGAGCAGGGATGGAGCCTAATCTTAAATTGACTCACCCTCCCTTTCCTGCTTAAGTAAATGCTGAAACCCTACCTGCTGCTAAAGACTCATCTTCATGGTGGTGCTATGATTTTGAAAAAAACTACGGAGTCTTTTTGGATGTGAAAAAGGAGGAGAGACCAGGAACAGTTAACAGATAGCAAAATTGCCCCAAGGAAAGTTAGCTTGGTTAGCAGAACATCAAGTCCATTAAAAAGGAGAGATGATTGTTAGAACCTGTGGCGTGAAGAACAATGAGCCCTTATATCAACTGACTCCCTCAGTTGCCTTAATAGTAATGCCACTGCTGCTGCACTATGGATCAGGAAGCAAAGCAAGATTCTTCTATCTGAAGCAGAAAAATCAGCTTCCCTCCTTAAGACATGCACCCTAATTTTAGGGGGCTAGTTTTGGGGGGAAAGGTGCATGTGGTATGTGAGTAAATCTGGTAAACATAAGAGATTGCAAAAGTGAGTGTGGATACATGTAAAGATTTGGTGAAATAAGGAAAGGTTCTGGAGAGTAGACTAAGAGTTATGATAGTATTAGCCCAGAATAAAAATGTCAATCAGTTTCCTCATGGAAGTAAACCCAATGCTAAATCCTTCCTCATGACAGCTGGGATGAATGAAGTCCTTGTCCCTGGCTGCTGGGAGGTGCATTTGCCCCAGCCTCAACCAATCCCTTAGCTTTAGGAAAAGACACTCTCTCCCTTTTTTAAAGAAAAAGCTGCAGTGATCAAAAGGTCAAATTGCTGTTGCCTTTAATGAGGCAGAATTAAGTGCTGCATAACCACATGCATCTCCTAACAATTTCCCGAAGTGGCAGGATGGTTAAAAATAACCTTCCATTCTCTTTCATTGCTTGGCATCTGCTGTGGAAAATCAACTGTGTGTCAGCCCTAGCAAAAACATTTCTTTCCATTTAGAACCACTTTGCTGTCTGACACTGAGATAACCCTCTGAGTGACCCTTAGCCCCGCAAAGAGGGTTTAAGCAACAACCACTCCTGACACCAAGGGCTGGGCTAGGCTAGAGCTGACCATCTCACTCAGAAGCAGCCTGAGGCTCTGTACATCCTGCAATGAGTGTTTTTAGTGCTCCACAGTAGCAAGGGTGACTTCTACAGGAGCCCAAGTCTCTGCCCCAGCCCCTTTGCCACTGATGAATTGACTCTCACAGGAATTGTTACCACACATCCTGCCTTGACCCTAAATTTTACTGGAGATAATGAAGGCCCGTTTAAAAGACATAGGACCATCCTCATGGCTGACTTCGAAGGAAGCTTTCTCTAATGAATCAATACTCCCAGGCTCTGGCATGCTTTGCTTTTTTTTTTTCCCCCTCTCTCTCTCCCTGCTAGCACTCAGCCTTTGCATGTGCTGCATTAGAGATGACGTGACCCATTTTCGATGGTTTTCACAACAGCAGGCAACAGAGCCAACGTTGCAGAAGTTCTTCCCTACCTCACACGATAACCAGGGATTTTCTAAATGTTCATATGGCCAATCTCATCCCGATGCCTGTGTTTCACATGAGATTCTCCTTCATCAATACAAAATAATGTATGGATCTGTAACTCTCAAATGACAAGCCAGTGAATCCACTCATGCTAGTCAGTGTGCTTCTCATATGAAAGAGTTACCGTAAATGATGGTTGGGAGCTAAATCCTATAAGGGTCCACATACTCAGGTCCACAAGTGACTGACTTCACTGATAAAAATCAATACACTTAGGCATCCTTTGTGCTGCTCTGGTGGTGTGAGGGGGTTGCTACTACTGCCAGCTGATATGAAGGAGATAAAGAGGCTTTATATTAGCTCTAATCTCAGTTCCAGCTTTACGGGGAGAACCAGGGATATGGCTAGGTCACTTCCCTGTGCAGATTTTATCCTCTCACTTCCGAAATTGAGACTCAGTGCTTGAGCTCAGAGACTTAGTTCTGTTAGAGGCTGAGGAGTCGCTGCACCCTTGATTGTGTGTGACCCAGCCACCATTAGAAGGGGGCAGAGCACTGTGCCAGGGTGTTGTTTGAATACTGTGGATAGTCTAGCCACGTAAGCTTGCTTACGCTAGGAGCCAAGCAGATCCCAGGGTGCAGACAGTGCAAGGAAGTCTTAAAAGACTCCTTGTTCCCACTCCAAGGCCAGCTACAGAGTACAGGACTCAAGCCTGATAACCTACAGATTCAATGAAAGCATTGCTCTCTTTAAGGGCCTGGCTTTCAACTCAAGGTTTCAGTGCTTTGTGTTGCTAATACATTTTATTTACTGTGGAGCTTGCGAGCCCTTTGAAATGGTCTGCAGGTGTTGAGACAGATTGGTTTAGATCAGGAGTGGGCAAAATGCGGCCCGTGGGTCAGATGTGGCCCGCCAGGCCATTCTGTCCAGCCTGCAGGGCCCCTAAAAAATTTAGAAAATTACTATTCATCTGCCCCTTGCTGCCTGTCATGTGGCCCTCAATGACTTGCCAAAACTCAATAAGCAGCCCCCCGCCCAAAATAATTGCTCACCCCTGGTTTAGATCCTCAGCTCAGCTGGTAAACTTCAGTGTACCTTTACTGAAGTTCGTGGAGCAATTGTAGTTTTTACTACTGAGGAGCCCATCTACCTGGTGTAGTCCAGTCTTCAGATCATGTCAAGCACCAGTCCTTGCAGTTCTGCTGCTCTGTACTGTGGGAGGAAAGTAAAAAGTACCATGAATGTGACAGCAACAGAGTAAAGATGAGGCTTTAAAAATATGATCTCAGCGGCATTTACACTAAGGAGGAATCTTGCTTTGCTAGAGAAGCAAGGAATTTGGGGGCTGAAGGAAACAATTGTTTCTGCTACTCTAGGACAAGGCGGGTACTGTTGTCTCTTGAGCTGGCCTGTTGGCATATGTTATCTGACAAAGAACCTAGATGCAACTGGAAGCAGCAAAGTTTCCATTCAGCAGCCTCTGTGAATGACAAACTGTGGATGAGTCAGCTGAAAAGCCTTGCTAGAGCCAGTATGTTTGCACACAGCTGCTTGTAGCGATGCACCTAGATCTGCACTGCTGCACCTCGGCGAGTGGGGGATGTGGCATTTGGAGCTGGTGAGTACCCGTGACTCCCACTGAAATGCTGGATCATATCCTTTGCGATTCTCATGCTACTGTGCCACTGCATAAGATCGTACTGGAAGCCTTCCACTCCCAGCTTTGTATTTATTAAAGCAAACTGTCCAACTTTTCTTCATGCAAAGTGCTGTGTGCTGAGGGCCTTTTTCATTAACACACTGAGAGCTGGTTATTAAGATAATGATGTGGGAGCTTTGCGAAATCCATCCTGCTTTGCTGGGAGTCAAGGAGGGGCTGTCACAGCTCCCTGCCTTGGGTCTTTTGGAAAGGCCTGAGTGGTTTGTTCAGAGCTGTTTCTGTTGAGTCTGCCTGGGCTGGAACCAGGCCATGGTCTAGCTGTCTCAGACAGCGGGAAGTGTTTCATCCTTTCCCCCTGACACAATGTTGGTCTAAGGGCATGGGGTAAAGGAACTGCACTGGGTGTAACTCCATTCCAGTGCACAGCAGTCCCCACAGGCCCTTGTCTTCCTCCTTCTGTCTTTTTGTGGAGGGAAAAGAGCTACTTAAGTGAAAGGCTTGTGCTGGCACAAGAGCAAATGGGCATACACAATGAATGAAAGAATGGGAATTACAAGGAGGTTCATAGCCATTAGAGCAATCAGGCTCTGGAGCACTCTCCCAGTGAGACAGGACAAAAACCTGGCTCCTTTCAAGGGGGAGCTTGGTTCGGTTGTGAAGGGGGATTCTCTGATGTGGTGCCTGCGGTGTAGCATGAGCCTGACCCAGGAGGTCCCTTCCAGTCCCATAGTCCTGGTGGTGTGACATGTGTGTGCACAGTAGGTTACGTGTGTATATGCATACATATACACGCATGCGTGTTCTTGCTCTCTTTTTCCTTAACAGTTTTCACTGTCTCACCAGCACCTGCCCCGCCTTCCCCTAACCATCTACAGCCCCCTCCCCTGCCACACACAGGCTCTCCCCCTTAGCAACACATCTTTATGTGGCGAGCCAATGGCAACGTTTGAGAGCCTGTTTTATTTTGGGAATCCAGTCTTGAGCCTCCTTTTCCTCCCTCCACTCCTCTGCCAAAATAGACGACCCTCTACACACACACACGCATACACCCCCCCTCCCCCGTAAGGGCCCCAGTGTGTTGTCCGGACACATTGAGGAATCTGACTTGAGAGAGACAATGGAGCAACTGCTGGCTCCTGGGGGCTGGGGCTCGGGCTGGGGCTGCGACTGGCAGGCAGGAGCTCAGTGCTGGTCTGTGGAGGGAGTCCTCAGTCACAGAGCCTGCCCCTTGCAACAACCAATCGGCTAGCCTAGGAAAGAAAAAGATACTTGGAGCATTGACCCAGATCCCCGCTTCCTTGGGGAGTAATAGGGACCTGGAAGGCTGAGCTGCCCCTGTCTTAACCTCCCTATTCACCCACCCTTAGCCCCTCCTTAGCATCCTTTCATCCTCAAGCCCCTCTCTCCTGATAGGACAGCTGCCCCCTTCTCCCCTCCCCTGCTGTCCTCAGCTTCATGCGGTTTGCAGTGATGCATTGTGGGAAACTCCCAAGTTTTTCCCTCCCTCCCTCCTTCCTCTCTGCGGAACATCCAGCTTCCAAGGTGTGACTTGTGCAAAGGGCCTGAGGAGAGAAGGTAGGAGCTGCTCCTTTGCTTGATTGCTCTGCAAGGGAAGAATGGGGGGGCACATTTCTGTGTGGGTGGCCAAGGGGGGTGTGATGCATGCAAGTGAATAGATCTAGAGAGAGAAATGTGGAGCTGCCTGTTAAAGGTGCATGCACCTGTCTAGAGGAGAGAGGTCATGGGGCTGCCCTGCCATCTGCGTTCAGGCTAACAGCATCTGTCTCTAGCAGCGTGTTCATCTCTTCTCACATAACCGGTACCATTGCTCCAAAAGGATGAGTGTGAAAAACAGGGCTCGCTTTGCATGCCATGGGTCCTGGATCTCCTATGTCATGCCTTGCTCCGTGAAGGTCAGACAGCAAGGGGAGGCATTCGCATCACTTTGAATGCTACATCTGTCTTGCATCCAGACAGACGGACTTCACGGCTGATAGACTTGCTTTGTATGATTTGCTGCTATTGCATAATTACTGGCTGGAAATTGGGGGGTGGGGAAGGGTTTGCTTTGAAGCATTTCCACTGTTATTGTGTGGGATGCTTCAGCATTTGTCTTAAGTGAGGGCATAGCTGTAGCAGCCTCCTGGACCTCAGAATTATGCTATTCCTAAATGAAATCCTAGATGACTGGATTAAGAAATTAGTTATTTTAGAAGCTGCATCCAGCTAAAATTTCTTTCTCCGTCACAGAAAGAGGGAAATGGACCCTTTAATAAAATGCACGCACACCCACACATTGCCAGCTTTTGTTTTGGATTCCAGCTGTCGGTTTTTTCCATCTGAATGGGCGATCTTGTTCATTCTCTTTCATATTCTGCCTTGATGGTTTTATTTCTCTATTTAATTAGTTGCTAACCCAGGAGGCAGGGCGCTAAACAAACGCATGCCATTTAAAATTACCAGCAACCTGATTCACTGATGTTAGCATTTTCCTGCTAAAAGGATTTTTCTCTAGGGAGGGAAAAAAATCCTTTGGGTTTTTTTGTGTGCCAAATAGTGGGGGATATAAGATTCTGCTGAAGAAAAGGAGACGGGCTAAATACAATACAGGTTCCTCTAAGCTATCACAGCTGGTTATATCAATTGAGTGGGAGGTAAAAAGGACACAGAGACAAAGTTGGAGTCACCTCACCTGCTGGCTATACCAGTATTGTTAGGTAATGTCCACCCACTGCCCATTTCTTTAAATAATATGTTCATGTAAGGTGTCTGAGCTTTCACAATTCTTCCTTCCAAGAGCATAATAGGAAGGTTTTTTTTCCTCTGAATTCAGCCTGGGCACCAGATGCTTTTCATTCCTCCTTTTGCGTGTACATCTTGTATGTTTGAAAATACCTGTTGTTGTGGACTCTCTGCTCCTGAGCTAACCATGCATGTATCCCTGGATGTACCTGGGTTCTCCTGCAGTGGGAAATGAGGGGGAAAGGACTCTGATTACACACAAATCAAAGTCCTCTTGTGCCAACTTTGACACAAAGAGATGGGGAGGGGGGGAATCATTCACCTGCATCTGAAAGGGAGGCCATAAGAAAAACCAGGAGGAATGGCAGTGTTCAGTGACTTATCATTAGCTGTCTCCGAGTTTGACCTTCACGGTTTTGACCTTCATTCATGGAGGGGCTTAGACAGCGGTTCCAAGACAGCTGTTTTTAACCTCCACTGTACTGCAGAGATGTCCTAAAGGAAATTCAGGGCTCTGTTAGATGCACATAACCCTCAGGAGTCTTGGTCTTTTATTATCAACCATTTTGCTGGCTGCCTGCCAGGACCAAGGTTTGGCAAGTGTCAGGGAAGCTTTTGTGTTTGGTCAGGCCTTTGGCTGGGAGTCAGGAAAATTGTTGCAGCAGGAGGCAGGGAAATGTTATCAGCAAATGGTTGTTATACTAATAGGCTACCCAGGTGATGAGGCCATTCAGATGATCTTTACCAATGACTTTCTCCACATGCAGAGGTATAGCACAGCCATTGTTGCCTAGCAAGATATATTGCAGGTGGGCTTCATCTACTGCCATCCCATAGGGAATGGAGGCAATGACCTTTCTTGGAGAATAGCATCTATCTGAACCAGTCTCTCTGTCTGTAGCAGATTCTTAGGCAAAGCAACTGCCTAGGGATGGCACCTGTGATCTACAGGGGGCAAGAGTTGGGACTTTGTTGCATGTATTCAAAATGTCCCTTGCAATCTTTCTGTCTGCTACAAGAGAGCAACCCAGGGATTTGCTGGTGACATAGAGAAGGCATTATATAGTCCAGAATTCAATTAGGGAAGAACAGAAGAGATGAGTTATTAGGCATGGTGATAAGCTAAGCAGAGTTCTCCAACTAATCAGACGCATTTTATGTCATTGTTCTGCATTATCAAAGATTATCCTTCCTCTTTCTCTTGTGGTTGTGACTCCCCATGCTTGAGAGAGAGAGACAGAAGGGACTGCCCACTTGCAGTGAAGAAAAGGCTTTGAAAGCTAGGAAAAGCTTCATCAAAGGATAAAGTGGGGACAATCCTATGGTGCCCCTGTTTAGGGGGGTGAGCACAGAGAAGGAAATATTCAGAGACAAGCAGCAAGCAGACAGCTGTGAGGCTGGCCTGTGCTGTCTCATGCCCTCAGTACTTTGTCTTAGTGGAAGCAATTTAACTCCCTGAGTTTTGCTATTGACTCTTTGAGTTTTGTTATTGACTCCTTGGAACCCTGGTGCTCTAGGGATTGACCTAGAGACCTCTTAAGGCTTCCCAGCTTTGCATTAAAGAGCCAGCCTCTGGAGTCGAGAGTTGCAGCCTAGTCCTAGCTTGTGTAAATTGAATGCGTCACGCACGCTGACCCTAACAATTCAGTGCCAAGCAGCATTTATCTAGAGAGTTCTATGTGCTGTGTGAGAGGGCAGCTATTTCCATAGGAAGCTGACCAAAGAGCTGCAAAACAGGTAGCCTATACACTGCTGAGCAGAGCAGAGCTTTTTGCAAGGCTGTTGCAGTACCCACCTTCCCATGCTGAACAAGCAGCTCTTAGCAGTTGCACTGAGCAGAGCCAAACAGTGAGAACCAGGGAAGGGGAGTTGCAAACTAGAAAAGGAGGTTTTGTAATTGAAATGGATCCTATCTGAGACTGAAGGAACTTGACTGGCTTGAGCTGGGCAGTAGTGAAGGAAAGCTGGTGGAGTGATACCTAAGTGAGTTTTCTGGAGGCCGGTGGCCTTACTACCCTCCTTCATGAGCTGTACTAGCCTGCAGATCTTGCCAAAACCTATAGGCATTTGAATTCAAGCTATTGAATGCCATTTGAATTCAGGAGCCACAAGTCTCTATTGTCCTTTATCAGAAGGAGACTACTGGTTGCTGGCTGTGAGGGGATGCTTGGGGATTGGAAAGGTGACAGGGAGAAAGTGAGTGGCTGTGTTTGTAAGTCCACAGGAACAAAAGCCTTGCAGGTAGCAGATACCAAAGCACTAGAAACTGGCCTGCAGAACAAGGCAGGGCCAGATTACTGCATAGGCAAACTAGGCACATGCTTAGGGCCCTGAGCTGTGGGGGGCTGCCATCCTTCCCTCCCCGGTGGCAGTGCCAATGGCCCTGTTTGCCTCCCTTCTCTTCCCTTCCCTCCACCAGCCGTGCTGCGGTAATGGCTGCTTCCTAGTGGTGGCTCTGAGCCCCGCTCCACGTGGGCCGTCTCTACTGACCCGGTGTCCATGAGCTTGTTTGCCTAGGGCCCACTAAAGGATTTATCCAGCCCTGGAAGAATGGGTATTGTCAGGATGAGGGGATGTCTGGGAGGTCTAATCCCCAGATGCCCAGCACCCAGAAGTACAAATCCCAATAGAGTCCCTCCTCACGTAGAGCTCTATTTATAGTCTTGCTCTGAAGATGTCTTGCCTAGAAGCAGCAATCTTGTCCCTGTGTGGGCAATAAAGGTCTCTGGGACAGTTTTCCTATCACTAGGCATGTGACCTGATAATCACCCCTTCCCCGAACCGTTTTTCTGTACAACATGCTGATGCTTTTCACTGCACTAGCTGCATTTTAAGGATCTGCATATGTAGATGCACTGCACCACATTTCTGGGGCTGATAGCAACATGTTAAGTGGAGCAGACCAGGCACCTTTTGGTTGCCTCATCTGATCTTTACCTTCTAACTGGTCTGTGCTGGGACCAGTTCCAGCATTGCAAATGCCTGAGGTGCCTCAAACAGACACTTAACCACCCCCCCCCCGAAAAAAAACAACAACAAACAACCAGGCACAACATTGTCGTCTTTTCTCCAGATCTCCTTTTCAAGGTAGTCCACTGGCCCAAGTCCTGAACTAGGGACAGGTTTAAGGTCTAATGTCTCATGACTGGGAAGGATGAGAAGCCAGAGCTTTATCCCATTGGAAAGGGGAATCTGAGTTTTCCAACATTTGAATGTGAAATACAGAGCTTGTTTCTACTGCTGAGAAGCCTTGTGAAATCTGATTTCAGTGCCAGGATATTTTCATGCATAGACAATCTACTTGGTGGTAGTTTTAGGGGTTTTAAATGGTGTTGAGTCTACCTTTTCCTAGGGGTCTGCATCACTGGATTTGTGGTAATAGAAGCGCTGAGTTTCGCAGTTGGAAGAACAAATAGAAATAGCCCCAGTGAAATATTTTAACACTCTCCCCAATTTTATAATATATTTTATTGGTAAAATGTGGCTTGTGGAAAGTTCAGAGCTGCCTAATGGTTCATTGACACGAGGGTGTATGATCTGTGTAAGTTGATAATGATTTTCCTGCTTCCTCCTAGTGTGACAGTGGGGGCCATCACAGACTCTGGATGATTTAAAAAAAAAAAAAAAGACAGATCCTCAGCTGGTATCAGTGGGGATAGACCTCTAGCAAAGTCAAGGAAGCTTTGCCAATTTATACCAGCTGAGGCCTTGATATGAAACCTTCATGAGCACTGCCATGCTGATTTAGTATTAACTTTGGTACTCAGTTATATAATTAGGCTAGGGGTAGACGTTCAAAAAGCCTGAATTAATTCAATCTAGGCTGAACTGGT